TCCCGGCTGCTTGCTGTTCTATTGTATAGTTTCTCATTGTCATTTCATATGACAAAATGAACCAGTCAAGTGCATGGGAGGTGGTGCAGGTCACCACAAATAAGCTTGGAGCTAAGTTTCAAGAGGGGGTCCTGCCCTATCTGCTGGATTCTGCTGTGTCAGTTATTAGAGGATTGGCCGTTTCAGTGTGCATAGTTGATAGTATGCACAGCTATCTGCTCTGTCTGCCTGTGTTTGGTCAAAGCTCACTCTGAATCTCTAAATGAGGGGTTTTGATTTTGTTTGTTTTTAACTGATTCCAGCAAACAACCAAATGCCTGGGTTATTTAGCCTTTTTTTCTGGTGGCTCTAGGGATCAAGCCCACGTCCTCACTCATGCTAGTCAAGTGTTCTCCCAAGTGTGAGCTTCACCCCCACCCAATGAATTAGCTTTTCATCGCACCAAATTAAGGAGAAAAACATATTTTTCCCTTTCTCCTCCAGTCTCCCCATTTTTTTTCTTTCTTTTTTTTTTCCAGAAAAAGAAACACAAGAAGCACAAACACAAAAGTAAGCAAAAGAATAAAAAATCAGAGAAAAGTAGCAGTTCTGAGAGTACTGACAGCAGTGACAGCCAGAATGACGAAGAAGGGACCGCTGACCTGTCACCCCAGGAGCTGCTGAGACGGTAGGCTGTGGGTGACAGTTGGTCTTTACTTAATAATTGATGTGTTTGCTTAGAAGCAAATACCAGAAATGGGAAATTTGTATATTCACTAGGCTTTTTAACAAGTTTTAATATTTAATTCCATAAGTAATAAGTGAATATATTATTAATATGCAAATTCAGACCTCACAGATAAAACTTAAGGGGGTCCTTGACCAATTCCCCAAACCTCTCCTTCTCTATAGTAACCTCTATCCTTAGTTTCACGTGAACCTTCAAGACATTTCTATGCAACCATACAACATAAACACTCACACAATTTTTGTGTGTGTTGTCACACTCACATATTAAAAAAAATATTTTTAGTTGTAGATGGACACAATATTTTATTTATACACACACACACACACACACACACACACACATATATATATATATTGCTGTGGATCAAACCACCCAGTGCCTCATACATGATAGGCAAGCACTCTACCACAGAGCTACAGCCCCAGCCCACACTCACACATTTTTTTGTGCACATTTAAAAAAAAATATTTATTTTTTAGTTGTAGTTGGACACAATACCTTTATTTATTTACTTTTATATGGTGCTGAGGATCAAACCCAGGGCCTCGCATGTGCTAGTCGAGTGCTCTACTGCTGAGCTGCAGCCCCAGCCCTGTGCACATTTTTAATATAAATATAATTTTATATTTATAACATAGGTTTGTAGGGTATGAACCTTTATAATGAATAAATACTGCCAAAGTACTTTCCAAAATGGCTATGTTCATTTAAATAAAGTACTTGATTACTACATTGATTACAAAAATTACCAGTGTTACAAAAATGTTTGCCAGTATGATGGGTAAAAAATGATCTCTCATTTTAATTTGCATTTCCTCATTTATCAAGGTTGAGCATGTTTTCATGTTTCTCAGCTTTTGCTGTTTTTTTTTTTTTCTTTTGTAAATAGCTTGTTCATGTCCTTTGTTCATCATTTGTTTTCTGTTGGATTGTTTCATTGCCAGTACTGTTTTGCTGATTTTTAGAAAATAAAAAATATTTTTGTATATTAAGTCTTTGTATTTTAGTGTATTACATGTTACTTTTAAGTTTGTTGTACAGAAGTTTTACTTTTGGGACTACTTGTTTTTTTACCAGTTTTTGTTGTTTTACAACATCATCTTTTTAAAAAGACCTTCCTTAACTCAAGGTGTGTATATTAAATATAATTTGCACATACACTACTAGCTGGGTACATCGATACATGCCTGTAATCCAAGTGACTCAGGAGGCTGAGGCAGATGGATTGCAAGTTCAAGGATAGCATCAGCAACTTAGTGAGATCCTGTCTCAAAATGAATAAAAAGGACTGAGGATGTATCTCAGGGGTAAGAAGCTTTCTTTCTCCAGTACCAAAGAACAGAAAAAAAAAGTTTATACCCACACATGTAACCCCACTGCCATATACACACTACCCTAATGCTTTTTTTTTTATTTTTAAATAGTGCTGGGGATTGAATTCAGGGCCTTGCTTATGCCAGGCAAGTGCCCTACCACTGAGCTACTTCCTCAACCCTACTTGAAAGCTTTTGTAGTTTTGTTTTTGATCTATTTGAATTTTTTTGCATGTGTGTGTGAACAGAATAAGAAAGGCATACTACCTATTTTTTTCCAAAATGAATACATAGTCATAGCAGAGTAACCTAACTTCAGTTGAAAACAACCCCCAAGTCCCAGTGACTTACTATAGTGAAGCATGAAGGCAATTGAGGAAGCTGCTCCAGATTCCAGCTTGTTCCTTCTTGAGCCCATGTGGTCTTCAGAGGAGGGGGACAGGTTGGAGGAAGGCACTGAAATTGTTATGATCCTGCCTCAAAGTCTACATTTTACTTCCATCTGTAGCCCATGGCCAGAATAGCTGCCTGGCCCACCTGGCCACTCCAGCACTGGGAAGCACAGCCCAGCGATGGGCCCTGGATAAAGGGGGGAATAGCCGGGTGAACCCTGATCACCTCAGCCCTACCCAAAATTCTATCTCATTAAGATCAGTGATCCTTTTGTAAATCCCTGTGCCCATGGGGATTTTCTGCTTAGATTTCTTAATTGTTTTGTATTTATGCCTTTTTAAATAACTATGATCTTATAGTATTGCTATCTGGAAAGGCAGGTTCCACCTTTTTGTTCTGTGTGTGTGTGTTGCTAAAGATTGAACTCAGGGCCTTGTACACATTGAGCAAGTGCTCTACCACTGAACTATATCCCCAGGCCTTTTTTTTTTTTTTCATTTCTTTCTTTTTTTTGCGGGGGGGGGGGGGTGGTGGTTTACAAGGGATTGAACTCAGGGGCACTCAATCACTGAGCCACATCCTCAACCCTGTTTTTTGTTTTTTGTTTTTTTTTTAAAGAGAGAGAGAGAGAGAGAATTTTTTAATATTTATTTTTTTTTTAGTTTTCGGTGGACACAACATCTTTGTTTGTATGTGGTGCTGAGGATCGAACCTGGGCCGCACGCATGCCAGGCGAGCACGTTACCGCTTAAGCCACATCCCCAGCCCACTCAACCCTGTTTTGTATTTTATTTAGAGACAGGGTCTCTCTGAGTTGCTTAGCACCTCGCTTTGCTGAACCTGACTTTGAACTCATGATCCTCTTACCTCAGCCTCCCAAGCTACTGGGATAACAGGTGTGTGCCACTATGCCTGGCCTCATTTATTTCTTTTGGAAGGACAACATATTATCATGGTTCAAAAATACAAAGGATGTGAACATTTAAATTGAATCCAAAGCCTTCTGAAGTAGCTGTGCCAATTCATGTTTCCCTTTCCTCCTTTATGTGAGTACTGACAGGGAAGAAGGTACCAGTTCATTTCATCTTCACCCTACTTTGTGTCACCCCATCTTTAGATGGGGAGAGCCAAGCATGGAGGTTAAGTCATGTGCCCACATAATCTCACCCATACCTGATATCACTGTTGATCAATGTTGGTCATCTGGCACATCATTTCTACAGAACTTTACCTGCATATAGAAGGGGCACAAATGGAAGCCCTTCAGTGCCCATTAGGATCATGTGGTAGACTGGGCCAGAAAACATAGGCAAGTAGCTATGTGCTGAGTAACATCTACAACTTTTACTATATTGAGACCAAAACCTGAAGAACAATGTCTATGTGTTAAGTACTATTGATGTTAAAAAGTCATCTTCAGGTCTTTGGATTTTTCTAAATGTACACATATGTTAACTTTCTATCACTATAACATATACTTGAGATAATCAGCTTATAAAGAGAAAAGATTTATTTTAGCTCCTTTCCTTTTATCCTTCCTTCTTTTAGTACTGGGGTTTCTCTACCCTGAACTTCACCTCCTTCTTTTTTATTTTTATTTCAAGACAGGGTCTCAGTAAGTTGTGGAGGCTGGTTTCAAACTTGTGATCCTCCTTCCTTAGCCTCCTGAGTTGCTGGGTTTACAGGCATGCATCACTGTACTTAGCTGACATTTGATTTTCTACATAGAGCAGGGGCCTAGAACCAGTATGACTCAGCCCTACTCTGAGTTGCCATAAACATTTTTATATATATGAAATTGAGATTTAAGACTGAAGATTTTGGAGCTTTTGCCCCTGAAGCAAACATACTTTAGTTCCTTCTCTAAAGGCCATACAATGGCTGAGGTGGCAAGTGAAACCAGGATTAGAGGTTGCTCTTAGAAACAGGTCCTAATGTGAGATGTGAGTTAGTGAGTCTCTGTACATTTGGGGGGTAACAGAAGAAGCAGTTTAAGATAAGAATAAGCTATGCTTCATTATAATGGTCATCCTGTGCTTTCTATGTGGAGACATTCCACTGTGAGGTGTGGAATTCTCAGCCCTCACAGAGCTGTTTCATTTTTTCAGTTTATTTCTAACTTACCTTCTCTCTCTTTTCTGTTTTCTTTTCAGACTGAAATGTCTCCCATTAAGAAGGCAGTAATTGAATTCTGCCCTGGCCTGTCCCAGTATCAGATCTCCTCCATGAAGGAAACTCTTTGACTGTTCAGTTAATGTATTGTACAGATTGTATTTATATGTAAATTCCTGCTGTAAAATAATTTTTAAAACCTTGCCATTTCAAAGTCTGCCTTGAAAGGTTGTAGAAATTGATTTCTATTTTTAACTTCAGTTAGTGTCAGAGGGAAAAATTCAGACTGAACAGTTTAATTAAAGTGGCATTTTTCTATTTTCTTCTTGGGTTTTTAATTTCCTGGAATTTTAAAAAAGAAATTAAAAATGAAGACTTTCTCATAGTTTTGTTATGAAGAGAATTGAGCACTGTAAGGTCAGTTTGGACATACTGAAGGATGTGGGTGTGTGGGGGGTGGTTCTTTGGAAGTGGAGCAGCACAGAGCCAGGGTCCTGGCTGGGGCCCTTATCTTCTCAGAGTTGGTGTCACTAAAGTGTTCAAGATAGGCAAGGAGTCAGAATGGGAGGATGTGCACCCATACAGCCTGAGTCATGCCTGCTCCAGGTCCTTGCCCTGGTAGCCCTTGGGTCCCTGCTCTGAGGCCACCTCATGTGTACCCACGAGAAACCTTTTCAGAAAGCAAAGTGCAGCTCAGTGGTTCAGTGCTTGCCTAACATAAAAGTGTCCCTGGGTTCCAGCCCTAGCATGGTAGGAGCAGGGTGGAGAAAAAGCCAAATGCAGAGGTTTTTACATTATGAAATTAGCCTCATAAATCAGAACAACCATAAAAGGAGAAAGAAGGGGGAAAAAATCAGTTCTAGTTTTACCACCCAGAGGTAACAGCCTTCAATATTTTGGACTAATTCCATCCAGTCTTTTTTAGCCATGAGGCAACTATTATCTGACTACAGGCAGCATTTCCCTTTGACCTTGTGACAGATCTTTCCCTTAAGTCTTATAAACTGTATGAACCCTCCCCTAACAGCTGCATGCATTCTGTCCAGGGGCCATTCCATAACTCATTGATCATTTCTCTGTCAACTGACAGACACGAAGTGGATGAGCCCAGGAGCTCCTATGCATGCAAAGGACACAGAAATCCCTCTTTGACAGGGAGCTAGAGTTGGTGTCACTAAAATGAGGGCACAAAGATTGGTTATTAAATTTGCATGCTCTGTCCCCTTCCTCTTATGCCCAGAGCCTGACTCCATTTTTCTAGGGGTAGCAGTGTTGTGCGGTGGGAGGAACCATTTTCACTCTGCAGGTGAGTAGGCGGCCAGCAGCGTAGCTCGTGAGTCGAGCGGCCTCCTGAGGCGCGCGTGTTGCTACCGTTCTGGCCAGGCCTATGGGTGGCCACCAGCGGGTTAGGTCCAGAGATGGCTTCCAGGAGGCCAGGTTCCCCAAAACCCATAAGCAAGGACTGGAAGAGGTCGGTTCCTCCGGGAATGCACTGGCCTCTCAAGATGCCTGGGGCTACTTATGTGGCGAGAGCCAAGCGCCGTTTCAAGCTGTCCATCCCGGATATATACCACAGCCGGCTGCTGGCCTCTCTCGATCCCCTGGCCTTGGACAAGGAGGCTCCGCAGAAGCCTGTGAAACAGGAGATAATGTCAGAGGAAAGGTTCTGGGGCGACCACCAGCCCCTCTCCAAGGTCAGAACCACCCCTGGGGTGGGGGCAGTGACCAGGCCCCCATGGGTAGGGAGGGCGCGCAGGCCAGCAAGTGACTTATGGGTGACCCACCTGGTTTCTCCAGCCACTGTCCTCTGCCTGTCAGCAGCATCCCTGGAGGGGAAAAGCTCAGAAACTGCTGTGGCAGGGCCAACTGGTGGAGATGCTGGGTGTCCCTGGGATTCCCGGGCCACAGCTTACTGGGGAAACCAGGATTCTTGTGCGGAGAGGACTCTCGTCCGCCACCTCCCACGGTTTGCTTATGCCCTCTGGTGGCGGATCCCATGAGTTCCCTTATCCCTGTGTTCCCATACCTTCTGAAGGCGGGTATCTTCTAGTCCTCCGCATCTCCACAGTCCTGCTGTTCTCCGCACACCGCGGAGTCACCCGCAACCCTGCGGAGTCACCCGCAACCCTGCGTGCCACCCACGCTCTACGCTTCCTCGGACTTAGTCTGAGCATGTCTGCTTTCCTGAAGCGGAGCCCAAACCCCTCATCTCATTGTTCTATCTTTCTTCACACCAGCCATTACCACGAACAATTCTAAAATGTTTCCATCTCTCTCCAAGAAACCCTGTACCAGCTATCAGTCACTCCCTTTTACCACAGCTCATCCTCCCAAGCTATGGCAACCACCAATCTATTTTTCGTCTTTATAGATTCACCTATCTTAGACCTCTCATAGTAAGAGAATCAAGTGACAGGTGGTCTTTTATGAATAAAAGATTATTATTCTTTTATTTTTTAATATTTTTTATTATTATTCTTTTCCTTAGCCTAAATTTTTAGTGGTTCATCCACATTGTAGCATGCATCTGTACTTATTTATTTTTTTTGCCAAATAATATTCCATTGTATGGCTGTTTTAGTCAGCTTTTTCACTGCTGTGACTGAAAGACCCGACCAGTACAACTGTAGAGGAGGAAAAGTTTGAGGGCTCATGGTTGCAGAGGTCTCAGTCCATAGACAGCCAAAGTCCATTCCTCCAGGTTCAAGGAGAGGCTGAATATCATGGTGGAAGAGTATGGCAGAGGGAAGCAGCTCACATGGTGATCAGAAAGCAGAGAGAGACTCCACTCTCCAGATATAAAATATATAACTCATAACCATAGGCTGAATGAACCACTTCCTTTAGCCACACCCCACCTGTCTTCAGTTACCACTCAGTTAATCCCACCAGGGATTAATTCACTGTCATAGTTAAGGCTGTGACTCAATCATTTCTCCTCCAAAGCTTCTTGCATTGTCTCCCACGTGAGCTTCTGGGGACAACTCACATCCAAACTATAATATTGGCATGAAATTTTATTTATTCATTCATCACTTGCTGGATATCTGGGTTGTTCCCACTTAATGCATTAATAATGCTGCCATGAACATTTTTGGCACACACATTTTTTTGTGTGGATATTTTCATTTCTATGGGGTCTCCACCTAGGTGTGAAATTGCTAGGTCATATTTTAATTCACAAATTTCACTTTCTGAAGAACTGCAAAATTATTTTCCAAAATAGCTGTACCACTTTGTGTTCCTGCCAGCAATGTGAGTTTCCATTTTTCCAAATCCCTGGCCAACAGCTACCTTAATTAGTGTGACATGGTATCACACTATGGCTTTCATTTTCATTTCCTAATGGCTAATGATGTTGAGAGTCTCTTCATATACTATCAACTATTGGCATGTCTTTGGAGAAATGTCTGTTCAGATCTTTTGCTATTTTTTTTTCTTCTGTTCTGGGCATTGAACCCAGAGTATCATTCATGCTAGGAAAATCTTGTATCACTGAGTTACATCCCTGGCTCTTTTGCCTACTTTTTTTTTGTGGTATTTGTCTTTTTATTGATGAGTTGTAAGAGTTCTTAATATATTCCAGGGCTGTGGGTATAGCTCAGTTGGTAGAGTGCTTGCCTTGCATGTATAAGGCCCTGAGTTCAATCCCCAGCACCACAAAATAATAATAATAATAATAATAATAAATATTTATTTTTTTCCAGATACAAGTCCCCTATCATATATATTATTCCCAATTATGGTAGCACATTCCTGTAATCCCAGCAACTTAGGAGACTGAGGCAGAAAGATCGAAAATTCACAGCCAAACAGAACAACTAAGTGACATCTTGTCTCAAAATAAAAAATAAAAGAGCTGGGGATACAATTCAAAGGGAGAGTGCCTCTGGATTCAATCCCTAGTACCAAAAAATAAAACTAAAAAATTCCCATTATGTGATTTTTTTCACTTTTTTGATGGTATGCTTTTAAAAAAACTAATTCTTTATTGATAAATATTTACACTAGAATTAGAAATGTCAGTAGAAAAGTAGAATTTAGAATAATTTTGGAGAATATTGTCATATTAAATATATTGTACAAAGATTTGATCATTAAAAATACAGAATGCTTCATGAATTTGCATGTCATCCTTGTGCAGGTACCATGCTAACTTCTATATTCTTCCAATTTTATTATATGTACTACTGAAGTGACAGTTCTCTTTGAAATTGTGCTTGAAAGCACAATTTTTTTTCATTTTGCTAATGTCCACCCTGTTATTTTTGTTGTTATTGCTTGTGTTTTGGTGTCATATCTAAGACGCTATGCCTAATGCAAAAATCATTTACACTTGTTTTCTTGTAAGAGTCATAGTTTTAACTCTTACATTTGAGTCTTTGATTCACTTTGAGATTGTTTTAATAGATGGTGTGAGGTAAAGGTCCAACCCTGTTCTCTTGCCATTTGTCTCAGCAAAAACTGCTAAAAAAGGCTATTGTCTCTTTTTAATTGTCTTGACACCCTTATAAAAATTAAATGTTTCTTTCTGGATTCTCAGTTATATTTCATTTATTTGTAGTTCTGTATTTATGCCATTATTATGCTGTCTTGGTCAGTTGCTTGGTAGTAAGTTTTGAAATTAGAAAATGTGAGTCCTCTAGTCCTCTACATTTATTTATTTATTTTGTGGTGCTGGGCATTGAACCCAGGGCCTTGTGCATACGAGGTAAGTACTCTACCAACTGAGCTATATCCCCAGCCCTTCTTTACCTTTATTCTTAAGATTGTCTTGGTTATTTGGGTTCTCCTGAATTTCTATAAAAGTTTTAGAATCAGCTTAGCAATTTCTACAAATAAGTCAGCTTAGAATTTGGATGGTGTTGAATCATTTTGGAGAATATTGTCATATTAAAAACATCATATCTGCCCATCTATGAACATGGTGTGTCTTTCCATTTATTTTGATCGTCTTTAAATTCTTTCAATAATATCTTTTTTTCAGAGTGTAGGTTTTATATTTTCTTTGTTCAGTCAATTCTTATATATTCTTTTTGATGATTTTACAAATGTTTTTTGTTTGGAATGTTTTATTTTGCTCATGTATTGTGGTTAGAAATATAATTGTTTTTTGATATATTGACCTTGTATCCTGTAACATTTTTTTTTTTTTTTTATGGTACTAGGGATTGAACCCAGGGGTGCTTTATCACTGAGCCACATCCTCAGCTGTTTTTATTTTTTGAGACAAGTTCTCACTAAGGTGCTTAGGGCCTTGTTAAGTTGCTGAGGCTGGCTTTAAACTTGCGATCATTCTGCCTCAGCCTCCTGAGCCACTGTAATTACAGGCATGTACCACTGAACTCAGCTCCTACAACCTTCTTAAACTTATGTGGTCTATCCTTTTTTTCAGATCCCATTTAAAATTCTGAGCGGGCATGACCATGTTGTGAGTTCCTGCCACTTCTGCGTGAACGACACCAAGCTCCTCAGTGGCTCCTATGATCGCACTGTGAAACTGTGGGTAGGTGGCTCTGTGTTAGGTTCTCCTGCAACTAAGATTAGGTACCTTTTATGAAGAGTTCTGCAGTACTGTTTCCTGACACTTAAGGATCCCAAGATTTGTAAAGGCCTTCTGAACAGAGTTGCAAGAAGGAAGAACCTTAGGGGCTGGGGTTGTGGCTCAGAGGTAGAGCACTTGCCCAGGACGCATGAGGCACTGGGTTTGATTCTCAGCACCACATTAAAATACAGATATTGTGTTCACTTACAACTAAAAAATAATATTAAAAAACAGAAGAAGAAGAAGAAAAAGAAGAAGAAGGAGGAACCTGCCTTAGTGTCAAGTAACCAGAAAGAGAAGTCAGTGTAGCTTAGGCCGGTCTATGAATCTGGATGCTCTGAGAGCAGGGGATGAGACCACTAGACTTAGAACTCCCAGCTTTTTTGAGGGTGGTTCTGCTGTGCCTGGGTACTACCTGAGGTTTCTGAGCTGTTATTTCTCTGGGTCTCCTCTTTCAACCACAGAGACTGTATGGCCAGGTCTGGGTTGTCATAGAGGACAGAAATATGGCCAGGCCTGGGACCTGTCCATGAGAGGTGGTTGAGAGAGGTAGGTCTGAGTACAGATCAGCACCCCAAAGTGTAAGAGGCAGGGGCACAAGGGATGAGGGTGTGATGTTCAGGCAAGGTTGCAGAGAGGTGACCACTTGGAGCCCTTCCAGAACTTTTGTGGACATGCTAGAAGATCTGCACAGGTTTTTTTTTTTTTTTTTTTGAAGGCATTGCTGTTTAGTGAGGAGTGGGTGAGGAGGAAGCAGGGTTGCAGGATGGCAGTGGCCGTCAGGGGGCAAATTAGAGATGGCTGTGTGGCTGGGGCTGTGATCCATGGGGGAGGACAGTCAGTTCTGAGTTTTATTGTCTTCTGGCTTCAGCAGGAAGGGGAATGGTGGAGAGAATCAAGGCTGGTTCCCTGGTTCTGCTTTGGGTAACTGGGTAGCCAAAATCTCCTGACTCTACAGATAACCACAGAGGAACATCTTCTGTCATCTGGGGGTACCAAGGCCAGGTTGACCTGATGGAAGGTTTGAGGACTTTACAAGCTGGTTCAGACTCCAATTTAGGACCTACCAGCTCTGTAACCCTAGGTAGTTACATGACTTCCTGGGCCTTCCTGAGTCTCTCAAATCTCAGGACCAGCTGTGTTTCGGGGCTGCCACAGGCTTGCCTAGCTCACAGACCCCATCAGACTGCCACTGCCTCCTTTTGTAGCTGCCCCGTAAAAATCCCTGTCCCCAGAGCCCATGATCTCCTTGGGAAAACTGTGACTTTCTCAAGGACCCTTAAACACTTTTCTAATCCTTAGGGTGACCAAAATACACTGGGGACAAGGGAATCCCTGATCTTGTCATCACCTAGGATAGGGGGCATAGCAACTTTCCAAATATGTGTTTTGCTTTACCATCTACAGATTCTTCCATTTCAGTCATAGTGTCCCTCTCTGTTTTGGCTAAAGGGCTCCTATCTCCATCAATGCATATTACCTGTTTCCACTCTGATTGTTGTCCCCAAATTAGGGACCATTCATGGAGATATCCTTTGTTCCCCACCATGGCCTACTTGCCCTTGCTCCTTGCCTTTTCCATCCCCCACCCACAGGCAGTTACTTCTACATTTGCTACCTCAAATGTCCTCCTCTTTCTCACAAACCATCCTTCTTCCTATCTCAGGAAACATGTCCGAGCACCTTACCCTCGCCACTGCACTTGCCTACCCACTCTGCTGCCATCTCCAGGCAGGCTGAGCATCCTGAGGCTCTTGTCCTCTGCCTTCCTTACATCTTCCCCTCTAACCCCACCACTGCCAGCTCTCCCTAGGGCTTCCTAACTTGGCTGGCCCCATTGATTGCCCCTTCCCAGGAGCTCTTTCACTTCCCATTGTTTTTCTTTTCCCTATTTTCTTCCCCCCAGCTGTGGCTCTCCCTGCCTCAACCTCTGCCCTCATCCTGTACCCTCTTTCCCTCTGAAGAGGATAAAGCCATTACTGCACACAACCACCTTCTCTATTCACAGAATCTTGACTCCAGCCAGCACCCGAACATCTAACTTCATCTTTCTTTCTTTCTTTTTTTATGGTGCTGGGGATTGAACCTAGGGTCTTGTGGTTCATGTGAGGCAAGCACTTTACCAACTGAGCTATATCCTCAGCCTAACTTCATCTTTCAAAGCCCTTTTTTTTTTGAATGTGAGATCATTGTGAATAATTTGGAAGGTCCATATGAAGAAACCAGGGAAGAAAGTCACCCTTCATTCCATTTCCAATATTCCTCAAAATATATTGGCACTTTTCTTTATTGTCATTAAAAAAATAAGTTTGGGTAGATTTCTAGAAGTAGGATAGATAATTCATTTGCATAATTATGATATTATTTCTTTACTATTACTGTGTTTTCTTTAGAGCACAGTAAAATATATTTTAAAACATAAAAAATATGTTTGGTAGTTTTTCTCATATACGTAATATGATTTTATTACAGAAAATGCATAAAACACAAAAACTCATTATTTCATGACCCCAGAGTTATCTGCTCTGAAATTGCTGGAGGGTATTTTTTTATATATATTTATTTATAAAATTGGGGCCACATAGAAATACTGAATATATATCCATAGTACACTTGAGCTACTCATATTATCACATCTCCTTGATGTTTCCAATTTATTATAGCCTCTTCCTCCCCAATCATTCAAAATCTGACTAGTATTCCCCCTTAAATTGAATCCACAGGTTTCACTTGGCGTTTGGAATCCTGCTTCCCAATGCCAAGTGAAGAGAGCAGGCTTTTCAGTCCATAACTCTATTCTTCCTCTTGGCCATGGGGTGTCACTGTTAAGTACTGAACCCGCACGGCCCTATAGTACCCATTCATTCTAGTAATGCTCTTAGTTGATAGGGGGCCCTCTCCAGGCTCCGTGGGCGTCTCTCAGTTCCAGGCCCCACAGTTATCATTTCCTTAGTTCACAGAAATAAACAAACAAACAAACATATATATCCCCGTAGAGCAACATACCAGCCAGGGAAGCTGGATTCCAGGCTGTCATTACTAGCCCTTTTTTTCCTGGGCCATTAGACTCTTAAGCCCAGGTTACCAGCTTTGGATGGACCTGTCTTGGTACATTTCACTTTGAAACCTCTGATGTCCTTTCCTTTCACTGGGCTTTGAGTAGGGTCTTCTAGGATCACCTGAAATGACCCGGTTATTTCGGGTTTTCTAGAATAGGAGTTGAGGCCTGGGTCTGTGCAGCAAAGCATTCACATAGCAGGCCTGGGGCTGCTAGTCTTGGCAAGGCTGCCGCTGACTTACATTTAGGAACCTGATAGGTGAACAGTTCCCTATAATCATATGAGGTTTCTCCAAATGGCAAGGCTGGCTCACTCCCCTTGACTGCTTGTACAAGCTGCTTTTCTTCTGGAAGTCTGGAAGTTGGGTGTGTGTTAGGCAGAGAGTTCCTATGTGATCAGCCCTCTCCCGGAAGACAACACCTCATACAAGTTGTTGCAACTTGTTGCTGGAGGAACTGAGTACTTTCTAGCCACTTCTCAGAAGTTCTTAGAAACCTGAACTGTTTTCTCTGGACTTCACCCCAAGCCCCTTTCTCTTTGCTGGTTTGGCTTTGTGTCTGTTACTGTAATAACTCTCAGCTGTGAATATGACTCTGAAGGAGTTCAGTGAATCATTAAACCTGTTCCCCTAACAAAGTCCCTTACCAGAAGGCCTTGGAGTCCTGATGCTAAGTGGTCTTTATATATCCTGGGAGTGATGTTACAGATTACAGACCTGCCTTTTTCAGACTGAAAAATTCCTACACCCTGGCACCATTATTTTACATAACAAATGCAAGACCTTTCTAGTTAGTCATTTTTTTAAAAAAGGAAATATAAAAAGAAAACAAAAAAAGTGAGTCATGTCTTACCAATAACTTGTGTCAATGGGGCTCCCTGTAACCTCTTCCCCTGCTTTTTATCCTAAAAACCTGTTGGCACATATGTTATTAAAAATATTTTGTCTTTGCTACCACAGATACCCTTCTACTCTGGTACCCTGCTTTGCTCTCATCATATTCCGTCATTACTGACCTTCAGCATAATTGTCAGCAGTTGTCAATGCTCCCCTATTGGGCAGGCTACATTTCTGTTTGTTCATTTTGAGACAGAGTCTCCTTAAGTTGCCCAGGCTGGCCTTAAATTTGCAAGACCCTCCTGTCTCAGTCTCCTGTGTAGTGGGATTGCAGGCATGTACCACCACAGATTATTTTAGCCATTCCCATTTAGATGGACTCCCAGACTCTTGCCTTATTTTTGCATCACACATTACCTACAATGCAAGACGAACCTTTTTCTTCTTCCTTTTTTTGATACCAGGGATTGAACACAGGGGCACTTAGCCATTGAGACACATCCCCAGCCTTTTTAAATATTTTATTTAGAGACAGGGTCTTGCTGAGTTGAACTTGTTTTCTCTTTCTTTCCTTCTTTCCTTCCTTCCTTCCTTCCTTCCTTCCTTCCTTCCTTCCTTCCTTCCTTCCTTCCTTCCTTCCTTCCTGTTGTGGATTGAACCCAGGGCCTTATGCATGCTAGGCAAGCCCTCTACAACTGAGCTATATCCCCAATCATGGATGAACCTTTTTATGCATACTTATTTGACCACAAATATGTTCATTTTGTTAGGAGGGCCCTCTTAGAGTAGAAATGTTGGGTCAAAGGACATAATATTTAAAAAGAAAGTTCTTGAAAGATATTGCTAGATTCTGCAAAGCCTTTTAGCCAGTAAATAATGAGAATATTATCTGTTTGCCTTTCTGCTTCAAGAGTGGCCAGTGCCCATCTGGTGTGTGTGGAGCAATAGGGAAGTATTAGGGGATGCCATGCAAGGCAAGGGCATCCTTTCTGCTCAGGATCAGGGAGGTGTTGGAAAGTCCTTTTGATCTTTGGAACTGAGTGAGAGTCATAGAGACCAGTAGGAAAGCTAAAGGCTGCTGTTGACCTCAGTCCATGACTTCAGCAAACATAGCTGTGACCACTCTCTCTCCTCTCTCTCCTGCTGATTTGAGGATGCCATGGACGGATCTGTGATTCGGGATTTTGAGGAAGGGCCCTCAGCTCCTGTTACAGAGTGCAGCATCACAGCTGACAGCAGAAGGTAACCTTTCCTCTTGTTTACCCTGGGCAGGAAAAGTGAGAGGTAGCCAGCAGCCCACTGTACAGACATGACAGTGACAATGTTGTTTTAAAAATTTTTAAAGCAAATACACAACTATGTTCCCTTATTGGGGCTCAAGGTATCTACTCTTTTGTTGTGAGAAATCAAGTGGATGTGACAGCACATTGAAAACTTAAAGCACTTAAAAGAGAACATTTATTGTGGTTAATCCATTCTGAATTTTCTTCATGGAAACCTAGACTGTGTTCTCTGGACGTCACCCCAAGCTCCTTTCTCTTTGCTGGTTTGGCTTTGTGTCTGTCACTATAATAACTCTCAGCTGTGAACATGACTCTGAAGGAGTTCAGTGAATCATTAAACCTGTCTGGCCTTGTAGTCACATGGAGACTGTGGCAGCTGCAAGGGGCCTTAGCAATCTAGTCAAGGCTCTTATTTTTCAGGGGAAACTGGGGCCTAGGAAAGCATGAGCTGTCATCTGGGAAGGGTCAGGGATAGGAAGCAGTGGCTCACAAGAGGAAAGCTTCAGGGATATGTTTGCGTAAATCTATTCACATGGATGTGAGAAATGGGAGGTGAGCCTTTAACAGTCAAGAATACTTGCTTTAAAATGGCTTAGATTTTATCCTGAGTAGCAGCTCTGAAACTGGTATACTAATAAAATAACTAGAATGGGATTTACGTTTCATAGGATTTTATAGAGACAAACTTTGCCACAGAAATGTGGAATATAAGGAGACAAAAGTACATTTGTTTTTAGCTAAATGTACAATAAAATATTTCAAAACAAAGTCAGCTGTCTATGAATGCGTTTTCCTGTAAAAAGACATGAGCAGAGAGGGAAGTGAGTGGTCCTTATGAATTATAAAGATCTTCTTAGAAGGATGTTGTAAATTACAGAACAGAAGAAATGCTACTTTTAAAGCCTTAAATATAAAAGTACGTATCTGGCTGGCTGAAGGAGTACAGAAGATAATTGGTAATATTAGATTGTCTCTGTTTTGAATGGGAACACACTACTCCCCAGTGGGGCTCATGGAGCATCTTTTGAAAGATTCTTGTATTATTTGCAATCTTGGTCCTAAATTATAAAAAGAAGAAAAAGTCCTCGTAGAAACCACAGGCCTGATTGTCTCTGTGGTTAAGGCCCAATGTTTGTCATTTTATTTCTAGAATTATTGCAGCATCCTATGACAAAACAGTGAGGACTTGGGACCTTGAAACAGGCCAGCTGCTGGTATGTATATCCTGCCCCCCATGGCCCAGGATCTTGACTAGGCCTTGTAGCTTTGGGCTGGACTTTCAATTAGGAGAGATGACAAAAACCCAGTTTTCTAGGAATGGAGAGTTTTCTTGGGGACCAAGATGTAGATGTGTACAGCACTCTATGGTGGTCATCGCTTGCAAAGTTTGGAAGATGTAGATAGTGGAGGGGGTGTAACAGGCAGATCAAGGGCTTCTGTTTGAAAGATGGGAAGGGTTTGGCTACACAGAAAGAGGCTGGGTTGGGGTTGGGCATGGTATTCAGGGTCCCCTGTGGGCTATTTGAATTTGATGAGACAGGAAGTAGGGCTGAGGCCATGCATGGGACACAGGCCATTGTGGCCAAAGAATCATAACTTTGTGCCTTTCCCAATCTGTTCTCTTTCTGTCTTAGAGGGGGCTACTATCTACCCACCAAATAGGCCTGAGATCTACCCTTTCCCACCCTTTCCTGCCCATGCCTGGGCAACCTCAGCCCTGCTCAGGGCCTACTAGGGACCTTCTCTGTTCCCAGCTCTTCTGTTCTACCTTCAGCAACAATTTATGGCCTCCCCTCTTCTTTTGTCTTCTCTCCGCTCCTTAAAAAAAACAAATTTTTTTTTTTTTTTTTTTTACTAGGGATTGAACCCAGCGATGCTTTACTACTCAGCTATAAGGCCAAGCCTTTTTTTTTTTCTTCAATATTTATTTTTTAGTTGTAGTTGGACACAGTACTTTATTTCTTTATTTTTATGTGGTGCTGAGGATTGAACCCAGTGCCTCACGCATGCTAGGCGAGCCACTATGGCTGAGCCACAACCCCAGCCCCATAATCCCAAGCCTTTTTAATTTATTTTGAGACAAGGGGTCACTAAGTTGCTGAGGCTGGCCTCAAACTTGCAATCCTCCTGCCTCAGCCTCCTGAGTTACTGGGATTACAGGCATGTGTGAGTGTGCCCAGCCATGTTCCAGTTTTAGGGTATATAACTAGATTTCGTTGCTAATTTTTTTTTTTTTGGTACTGGGGATTGAACCCACTTAACCACTGTGCCACATCCTCAACCTTTTTTTTTTTCCCCAATATTTTTTTATTTAGAGACAGGGTCTCACCAAGTTGATTAGGGTCTCACCAAGGTGCTGGGCCTGGCCTCGAACAACTTGTGATCTTCCAGCCTCATCCTGGCCTTGAACTTGCAATCTTCCTGCCTCAGCCTCCCGAGTTGCTGGAATTGCTGGCATGTGCCACTGCACCCAGCAGTCATTGCTAATTTAAAAAGCATAGAGTTGAGGGAGAGGAAGATGGCGGCGAGGGGAGTGCATTGCCCCCGTGTGCTGCTTCACTGTGTGGGAGTATGACAAGTCAGGACGGCTAAAGGCTATCTTGTTAGGAATTTCCAGCAATAGTGGGGTGCTCCGGAACCTGGAGGAAGGATTTCCATCACACGAGGATCGGCTACGGGGACTCAAACGTGAGAGGTTTGTCGCACGGAGCGTAACACTGCTTATTCAGCAAATCGCCCCGCGGCTAGAGTCTGCAGCGCGTGCTGGGAAACGAGGAGATAGCGACGCAGGGATACAGCGCTGCAGTTTCTGCCAGCCGTGCAAGCACCGTACTCAGGGCTGAATTCTGGGTTCGAGACGGGGGAAGGAAGCGGTCCATCTCGGTTCTCCACACCGGTCAGACCACAGAGGAGGCCAGCAGCCACCATGTTGGAAAGCTGACGTCACCATCCCTGCTTTCGACGGACCGCAGCTCATTCAGCCATAGAACAGGTAATTTCAGGCTGCCATTCGCCTGCGGCTTGCAGACAGATTGCTAGGGTTCAGTGCCTGGGTGCTTCTTAGAACCTGATCTTATCGGAGCGAACACCGAGCGCGGGGCGGCCGAGTTCCGGCTCCCGGAACCGCCCTGGCCCAGGGCTGGGGAGCCTGCGGAGGCTGCTTCTTGGACCCTGCTCCTATCAGAGCATACACCAAGCACTAAGCGGCCGAATTCCGGTTCCCGGAACTGAGCCCGCGGGGACTGCTTCTTGGAGCCTACTCTTATCGGAGCTTACGCCGAGCACGGAGCGGCCGAGTTCCAGCTCCCGGAACTGCCCTGGCCCAGGGCTAGGAGCCCACGGAAACTGCTTCTCGGTCCGGGTCCTGCTGAGGGCCGGTCAGGACTCACCCGTTGCTTTGGTTGCCTGGCAAGGGGAACGAAATGCTGCCATTCGCATAGGATACCAACATGGCGGAGATCTGATGTCATCAGAAAGCGGCGGAGGAGAGAACTTCATCAATACCAGCGGCGACAGAAACAGTTGGTCTCCTGGTAGGGGGGGTGAGGCACAGACACCCGAGTCTCCTCAATTTGTCGTCGAGCCAGAGGGGAGGAGCCGGGCCGCCGCCAGCGCCCGGAGCAGGCCCAGCGGCTCGCCAGCGTGGTGACCGCGTGACCCCAATTGGAGAGGGGGTGGAGCGGAGCTGCCACCCGCACCCGCAAGGTGGGCAGACCCGTGACCCAGTGGTACATGGGCGTGGTAGGAGGGGCAGGGCAGAGCCGCCGCCCGCGCTTGCAAGGTAAACAGACCTGTCACAGACTGGCGGGTCAGGCCCAGTGGCCTGCCAGTGTGGTACACACGTCACCCCAACTGGAGTAGGGGCAGAGCAGATCCTTCTCCCACGCCCAGATCAGGCCCTGCCGGTGTGGTGGCCACGTGACCCCAATTGGAGTGGGGGCGGAGCGGAACTGCCACCCGTGCCCGCAGGGTGAGCAGACCTGTGACCAACCTGCAGATCAGGCCCAGGGGTCTGCAGGCGTGGTAGGAGGGGCAGGGCAGATCCGCCGCCCGCGCCTCCAAGGTAAGCAGACCTGCGACACACCGGCGGATCAGGCCCAGGAGCCTGCCGGCGTGGTACACACACCACCCTAATTGGAGTAGGGGCAGAGCAGATTCACCGCCCGTGCCAGGAACAGGCCCAGCGGCCTGCAGGCGGGGTAGTCACGACACCCCAATTGGAGTAGAGGCAGAGCAGAGCCGCCACCCGTGCCCGAAAGGTGGGCAGATCTGCGACCGACCAGCGGGACAGGCCCAGTGGCCTGCCGGTACGACAGACACGTCACCCCATTTGGAGTAGGGGCAGAGTAGAGCCGCCGCCCGCGCCTGCAGGGTAGGCAAACCTGCAACCGACCGGCGGATCAGGCCCGGTGGCCTGCCGGTACGACAGACTCGTCACCCCAATTGGAGTAGGGGCAGAACAGAGCCGCCGCCAGCGCCCAGAACAGGCCCAGTGACCTGCCGGCGTGGTAGCCACGACACCCCAATTGGAATAAGGAGAGAGCAGAGCCGCCGCCCGCGCCTGCAGGAAAGATACACAAGCAGTATGAAAAGACAAAGAAAGAAAGGACCACAAGCAATGCAGGTCAACGCAACTTTAGAAGAGGTAACAGCTGCAGCAGATGGAATGTCAGATAAAGAATTCAGGATATACATGCTTCAGATGATCTGGAGTATCAAGGAAGACATTAGACAGCAAAATCAGACAATGAAAGATCACTTCGACAATGAATTACGCAAACAAATCCAGGAAGCAGAGGATCAACTATACAGGGAGATAGAGGTTATAAAAAACAAACAAACAGAAATCCTAGAAATGCAGGAAGCAATAAACCAACTTAAAAACTCAATGGAGAATACTACCAGCAGAGTAGAACACTTAGAAGATAGAACATCAGACAATGAAGACAAAGTATTTTTCAACTGGAAAAGAACATAGACAGCTCAGCAAGACTGTTAAGAAACCATGAGCAGAACATCCAAGAAATATGGGATAACATTAAGAGACCAAACTCATTGGGATACAGGAAGGTACAGAGCTCCAAACCAAAGGAATGAGCAGTCTATTCAATGAAATAATATGAGAAAACTTCCCAGACTTGAAGAATGAGACAGAATCCTAAATCCTAGAAGCCTACAGGACGCCGAATGTGCAAAATCATAAGAGATCCACACCTAGACACATTATAATGAAGATGCCCAACATACAGAATAAGGAGAGAATTTTAAAAGCTACAAGAGAAAGGAAGCAGATTACATTTAGGGGTAAGCCAATCAGGATAACAGCTGATCTTTCAACACAGACTCTGAAAGCTAGAAGATCCTGGAATAACATATTTCAAACACTGAAAGAAAATGGGTTCCAACCAAGAATTGTGTATCCAGTGAAATTAAGCTTCAGGATGGAAGATGAAATTAAAACCTTCCACGATAAACAAAAATTTAAAGAATTCGCAGCTAGAAAACCATCTCTTCAAAACATCCTCGCCAAAGCATTACAGGAAGAGGAAATGGAAAATAACAATGAAAACCAACAGTGGGAGGTAGGACAGTAAAGGGGGGGAAATAAAGAGGAAAACAAACCATGTTTAGTAACAGAAATAAACAAATATGGCTGGAAGAACAACCCATATCTCAATAATAACCCTAAATGTTAATGGCTTAAACTCACCAATTAAGAGACACAGGCTAGTAGAATGGATCACAAAACAAGACCCAACAATATGCTGCCTACAGGAGACGCATTTGATAGGAAAAGACATACATAGGCTGAAGGTGAAAGGTTGGGAAAAATCATATCACTCATATGGACTTCGGAAACAAGCAGGCGTGTCCATACTCATATCAAATAAAATAGATTTCAAGCCAAAGTTAATCAAAAGAGATAAAGAGGGACACTACATACTGCTTAAGGGAACCATACACCAACAAGACATAACAATCATAAATATTTATGCCCCAAACAATGGTGCAGCTATGTTCGTCAAACAAACTCTTCTCAAGTTCAAGAGTCTAATAGACCACCACACCATAATCATGGGAGACTTCAACACACCTCTCTCGCCACTGGACAGATCTTCCAAACAAAAGTTGAATAAGGAAACTATAGAACTCAATAACACTATTAATAACCTAGACCTAATTGACATATATAGAGTATACCACCCAACATCAA